TTGCAACGATATGGATGGACCTTGAGGGCATCATGCTAAGTGAAAGAAGTCAGACAGAGAAATACTGTGTGATCTCAGTCATATGTAGAATCTCAAAAAAAAAAAAAAAATTATACAGAAAAAAGATTGGTGGATATCAGGGGGTGGGAGAAATGAGTGAAGGGGGGTCAAAAGGTTTACACAAATTTCCATTTATAAAATAAATAAGTCATGGGGATGTGATGTACAGAACAGTATTAACTATAGTCACATGCTGTATATTTGAAAGTTCTCATCAGAAGAAAAATCTGTAACTATGTATGGGATGTATGTTAACTAGACATATTGTGATCATTTCACAATATATATACATGTTGAATCATTTTCTTATATACCTAAAACTAATATTTCAGTTAAATCTCAACAATAACAAATATACATACTAACATTTTACCTATATTTACTCTTTTGATGTGGCTATTGGAAAGTTAAAAGTTAGATGTCTGGATGACAGTGCTGATACACTGTATTTCTTACTGTGATAGATGGTCACAGACTTTTTTCTTTTTAAGATTCCAATCAATATGAATACACAAAAGGCATGTACTCTACACCTCTGAACTAGAACTAGTTCGTTTCTGCCTTCAAGACTATGAGAAGGCAATATACCAATTTTCAAAAACTCTCAAAAACGTAAGTATAAATGCTATTTTATAGGAAACAATTTTAATAATCTTTCTAGGGTTCCTATTTTAAAGTGTAAATTAGCAATTTTGCCTCACGTTTACATATAAAGCCCTTTTTTAAATAGATAGTTCAGAAAATTATAAAGACCAATCACAGTGAACTGATTTTAGAGGCAGTATATTTTGCTTTTTCTTCTAATGAAATCCATCACATTTTTTTGATGTATAGCCCTTTCTCCAAATAGGATAAGCATGTTCAGAGAGTAAATGATGGATGTGGAGCATACGGCAGTTCTGTTACGTCTGAAGTAGTTAACGAGGTCCAGCACGTCTAGCTTAACTCCTAGAACGGAACCTAATGTTCCGGGATGGCAGGGAGCCTTGCAACTCATCATCACAGGCTCATTAAGCACTGTCTGTACGAGTCAGGGTGGCTGCGCACTCGTGCTCAGCCATCCCCTCGCTCCTGACTGTTCTCCACTTCAGGGCGTGTAGACCAGGCAGCTCTTTTCACAGCTCTGTAAAGAATTGCCTTAACCTTCCTCAGGAACGACTACTATCATCGTCGTAGCCCATTCGTTTAACCTCTGTGAGCTTCATTTTCCTCATCTATAAATTGCAGGTGAAAACCTGCTGTACCTTGAGCGCGTGGCACACCGTGAGTGTTCAATCATGTCTTGGATGAATGGCAGTTACTCCATCTCCTATCACCCCTCTGCACACTGCCTCCCGGGCGGGGCTCAACCACGCCCCTCTCTTTTGCTCTCTCAATTTCATTGTTTTTAGAAATATCTGCGTTACCTTTGAACATTTTTTTGCTTAGTTTAGAAAATAACCATCGTCAATCCATAGATTCTTGGGAACCCAGGCCCAGGGGCTGGGCCCCCAGGGGTGGCTGCGGTGCCCCCATATACCTCCCACTTGAATATACAACCCGGCCTGTCTCCATCCTCAGCCTCTGCCTCTGCCTCCGCCCTGTCTGCTGATTGGTTGTATATGTGCATCTTTCTCCTTTACCAAAATGTGGAGACCTGGAAGGCAGAGGCACTCATCTTTGCACCCCTGGGGTCCAGCATGATATAGCCCGAATGGATACCTGTCACACAAATGAACTTGTACATAGCAGGCGGCACCTGAAAGGATTTTAAGTATCACACGAAAGCTAGTCTGGCAAAACTTCGAAGTTTATCTCGTTCTATTGCTCAGCCAGTTATAAACTAATCACTTAAATTAAGGCATCTGTTAATTGTTTAAATCATAACCTTTTTCATTCTGAAAGACTTAAGGTGGGAGAAATCTGATAATATTTTACTGACAGAATAACAGAAGAAAGCAAAAAAGATAGAAATTTCTTGAATACTTATTGTGTTAGAATGTGGCCTGTGCCCGGGAAGCTGCTTAGCCCAGCAGCACTGGAGCCGAGAGCCTGGCCAGCAGCACTGCCCATCCGCAGAGCCAGGATGGTGGCCTTGTTTAGCCAACGAGCTTGATGCTCAGTTCTTCTTAACTTGGACCCCGAGCAAAAGCCTTGTCAGCCCTGGAGCCTGTTGCCCCAGCCAGATAGGGGAGGTAATTTACAGCCCTGCCCACTGTTGAATATGGCCTCCTGCCCCACCTGACCAGGAAACCTAACCAGAGCACCTAGGAATCTGCCTCATCCACCCTGCAACCCCAGCTACACTGGCCCCAGAGCGCAGAGCCCAGGTGATGGCCCCACTCACTTGCAGGACCAGGATAGTAACCACTGGGCCAGGGAACTTGGGACATGAATCTACCTAATTTGTCTTCAGACAAGAGCCTTGCTGGCCTTGGGCCATACCCCAGAGAAACGAACTCATAGCCCTCCCTGCCCTCTGCGGGGTACAGCCTGCAGCCCACCCAACCGGGCACCAAGACAGGGCACTCAGGGAGCTGCACGGCCCCGCCTGGAGTGGCACGTGGCCTCTCCCGCCTGCAGAGCCAGGCTGGGGCTCCAGGTGGCCAGGGGATTCTGTGCACAGTCCCGCCGACGCAGGTCCCTGACGGCGAGCCAGGCCTGCCTGGGAGCCTGCTGTGCTGCCCCTCAATGTGAGGGGCTGGGTCATAGCCCGGTTCCCACGGCCCAGAGAACCCGGTGCCCGTGGGACCTTGCGCAGCCGCACGTGGGCGGGCAGGACGACAGTGGAACATTCTCCAGGGCAGGCCATGTGCGAGGCCACCAAACCGACCTGAGCAAGTCCAGGAAAACTGAAATCATACCAGCCACCTGCTCCTCTGACCGCACTCATGTGAAACTAGAAATCAGTAACAAGGAAAACTGGAGAATTCACGAATCCACGGAAATTCAACAACGGTCTCCTGAACAACCAGAGGACTAAAGAAGAAATTAAAAAGGAAGAAGTGTCTTGAGACGAGTGAAAGCGGAGACATGGCAAACCAGCACGGAAGGAGGCCCCGAAAGCGGCTCTGAGACGCCAGCCGCAGACCTCAGACAACCTGACTGCGCCCACGGAACTAGCAGCAAGGGCAGACTGGGCCCAAAGTGAGCAGGAGAAAAATGGATTATAGCAGGAATAAAGAACAAGAAAAGAGAAAGCGCTGGTTCTTTGAAAAGATAAAGAAAATTAACAAGCCTTTAGCTAGACTCACCAAGGGAAAGACATAGGACTCAAATCGACACTCCTTTGAGCTCAGGTGAAAACTGGGGTTTTAATCTAATCCGGTTCCAGGATCGTCAGGTGGGCTGCACACCGGGCTCTTCCCTAGGGGCTTCCACTTCTGGGCTGGCAGGCCTGCTGACGCTCCCTCCGTCACCTTCATGAGTAAGTGGTTTGAAACGTGCAGACTGCTCCCCAACTCTTCCCCTCGTTGGGAAAACCCTAGGACCAGGCTGCACCCCGATTCCAGGCCCGGCCGCCCTCCAGGAGAGCCAAGCTTCCTTCCCTAGCAGATTCCATGTGGACTGTGCTGTGAACCCCTCTGCACCCAGCACCCCGACCCTGTCTCCATGTATCAGTGTCTAGATTTGTAGATTTAATGTATGTGCATATTGATATCACTTAAAACGTCACGTCAGAAAAGCTGCAGACGCCTGAAGCGGCGAGAGCTCCCAGTACTGAATGACCAGCTAGGGTGGTGGTCACGGGAGGCTGTGTTCCCGTACAGCTTTTCCTTACAACTTTGTATTTACGTTAGTAGAGGTGTTGGCAACTATGAAAAATAAGTACTTTGAGTTTTAAAAAGCAAACTGAGTGAACTAGTGATACTGATTACGTATTATCCTGTTAATACTATTTCTGAATTTTTTAAATTTCCTTTTCAAAGATGTCCTCAGAAAGAAAACAGGCTCCCTCTAGTGGGAAGCGGGCATTACAGCGAGAAGTGTTTCCCCTGAAAGAGCACAACTTCAGCTACACTCTGAAGGAAAGGGGGTCTCTTCTGACCCTGGCAGTATGGGCTCCACAACTCAACTTGCTCCTTGAACTTTAGCAAAAAAAAAAATAAATATATGACACAGACACGCTGCTGAAGAGAACTGCTCTTACGTAAGCAAAGAGAAGCAAGGGCACCAGGCTGCCTCGGCATGAACCTCAGCTAGCTTGTCAGAAATTAGAAATTGTAAGTAGAGATTTACATATATACACATGCATTTACATAACTTACAAATATACACTGTTCTATAATGTGACTCTTAAGTGTTTCCTTGGATAACTGAGACATTTACAGGGTCACCCCATCCCTGGCCTCACTGTACAGCTGAGCGTAAGCAGCTTGCTCAGGGTTACACTCTTGGAAGTCCGCTTTGACCTCTGAGTTCCTATTAATTTTACAAAAAGTAAGTCTTGTGCGTTTTGGCTTTTCTTAATTTATGAGAAAAAAAAATGACCAAAATCCTATGCCTTCTCGAAGTAATTAGCTTCCTGCCTGATATCATTTCTACTTGAAGCTAAAACTGCATCTTTATAGAGTTTAATAACTGATATAAAATGTTCTTGAATCGTCAAGGAAAATTTAAATTGCACCAGGCAAGTTCGTAGCCCATGACAGAAATGGGTTTTGGTTTTATAATTGGTAAAGAAAAAACGGAAAAGAAAAAAACTTAATGAAATTTGGTAATGAGAATGGCATATCTTCCCAAAATGGTAATTAACCAATCAGCAGCTCCAAGAAGAGATGCTACAAGCGAGAGCAGCTTCCGGTTCTCAAACCCCGCATCGCATACGCCCCTGCGCCCCACGTTCTGCATCTTCTGCAAAGCCCAAGCGTCACTGCTTTTTGGTAAATGTTGACAAGGTCGTTCTACACGGGAGAAAGGTTGGCTTGCACTAAACTTTTTTTTTTCTCGTTTTCTTACAGCAAATCACATGCTTAGTTTTGGAACACTGGTCAGTACGTCCAATACCTACGACGGGTCTGGTGTGGTGACCGTGGAAACGGACCACCCGCTGCTCTGGACCATGGCCATCAAAACCTAGCCCGGGATCCGCTCACTGCTGTGCCCCGCCCCCTCGTCTGCCAAGGACTCGTCACTGGACAAGGGCGTCGGCCTTGGTCCGCAGGGACCTACTCCTCCCCGTGGAGGAGCCTGCTGGTTTTAAAGATGCCAGTGCCCGTGTAATCCAAGTCACACTGCAGACAGATCTCAGCTTCACAGTGGGGGTGGGGTCATTTTGAAGGAAGTAAATAAGCTCTTCTACCCTCAGTGGGAAGATTAATGCAGATCATTCCACTTTCCATTCAGTATTGATTATTCTTATGTTATTAATCATTCCATTTATCCTAGAAAATTGCTTTAATTTCGAGCTGAGCAGGGCCAGCTGAGGCTCTGTGGTATCCCGCGGACCGGCCTCCTTCTGCCTCTTTAAACGCTTAACACCAGGGCCGCTTCCGAGTGCCTGTCAGTATGAGATTCCTCTATGTCATATGGAAAACTTCTTTCCAGATAGAGATGTCTTTGTTATTGTCTTTTAAAATAAATCAAGAATCAGTGAACTAATTATCAGATTTGAAAACGTGGTTGGGGAAGCTCTAGAACGGCAAAAAAGGAAAATGACAGTTCACGAAGCCCTGCGGACGCACTCACGCCCGCGCGCCACGCACCGCGGAGCCACCCATCGAAACCGCCCCCATCGGTTACCACCTAGGCTGAAATGCTGTGCAGAGGAGACGAGCATAAAAACGGACTTGTCCCCGGCATACCGCGGCCTGAAAAAACACTGGTTCATGGACAAGTCCATTCAGACGACCCGTGGGGATGGGCGCACACCGGGTACCGAGGAGCCCGGGGGAGGGGACAGCCCACATTCCTGTCGCAGCCCTGCGGGCCGCCTGCTGTCCCTGAACCCTCTCCCCAGCCGGCAAGTGGAAGGCGCTGGGCGGCGCTGCGCGAACCGCCCCCCCCACACGCAGTTACCCCACAGAGTTAGGGCCCCCCACCCCCGCAGGGGGCGCACAGGGTGACGCGGTTAGGCCCCCGCGGCACTCAAAGGTAGCCCCATTTCTTTTATGACGAGACCTTCTAGCTTCTTACCCTCTTCTGTCCTGTTTCCCAAACTAAGCGTTGCCGTGTTACCCTGGAAGTCAGGGGAACGTGCCCACCGCAGGCCGGGGGAGCCTGTCGGGGAGGCTGTGGGGGAGGGGCC